TTTCTTTTCTCTCATTTTTATTTTTTTAATTTTCATTCATTTTTTACTATTATTTTTTTCTATCTTCATGGCCCAAAATTTACCAACGTTTCCCAACTTTTTCCCAAGTTGAAAAAGCAGGGGGGGACGCTCCCCCCCATCCCCCCTTATGACAACGGCCCTGCCTGACGGTTATGCTTTTTTTGTCAATAGATCCGGTTTCCATAAATTTGTTCAATAATTCCGAAACGTATTTGTGTCGTATATTTCTTCCTGAATGATTATCATTGAACAAACGACCAGCAGCTCTAGCACTATTTCCTTTTTGGTATTACAAACTTAATCCGTTTTCGAAGCGTATAAACCATTGCTTCTCAAGAATTCACAAAAACAGAAACACGAATTGTAACTTCAACTGGTGGTTAATCGTTATTGTAAAATGAGACAAATACAAAATCAGTTACTTCGACTATAACAGATTGTAGTCGAAGTAACCGATATAGTAATCTTAAAGGTGTCGGCGAAGTCAAAGGCAAAAAAAAACAATACAAAGGAATTATGCCGCAACGAATTAGTCCACGTAGACTGAAATATTGGCGGTTGGTATTGGATAATTTTTACTAACCGAGTTTTATGATTGGCTGAAGAGTCATAATATTAAATATGAAGTCATGTTACAGTGACCAACAGAATGTAGCGATGAGTACCGCGTTGTGTGTGTGTTATTAAAGGGGAACTGCTGGAAGGTAGGGGGCACTATATCTTTTACTTGAACTATACACAATATAGGGTGATCCATTTAAAAAAAAAGTTGGTGACATGCTCTGGGGGTGCGATAGGGGAAGTAACATCAAATGAGAATATGTCAAAATATGTCCCCCTGAATACTATGGTTGACGTGTTTTTTTATTTTTCCTGCAAATCATTGTACCAAAAGTTATTCAGGGTGGCTCGTTTTCAATGGAATGCACTGTATGTCGCTTCTATTATTTGTTCATATTGTTTGTGAAACTTATTTGTCAAACGATGAATCCATTCATCGTATTCATCCGAGCTTCTACCTATTACTGAAGGCAAAACAACTGGTGAATGTAATATTCAATTTTAATTTTTAATATCTCCTAAACAGAACACAAAAATCCCCGTTCGTCGATGATAACAAAAGTCCTGAACGGTTTTTTACATAGTTAAGATTCAACGTGGACTTCCTACTGAGAAATATCCCAATAACCCAACAAATAACTAACAAGAAGTAGCTTTCTCGAAATAAAAGTGCATGAACAAAATAATTGTGATAATCCAGCTAGCAACTAGCCATTAATAGAAATAATAGATAAGTATTTAGAAAAACATACATATTAGCCCTTTTTTCGACTATATATGACAAGTGAAAATTCACCAAAGAATATTGGTATCAAGTGTTTCAATAAAATAAGAGATTTGATAGATGTGAATCTGAATGACATTCTATTCAAAAATAAATTGAAAAACTTTCTTCTTGAAAAAGTATTTTATAATGTTGAAGACTTTTTATAATTCGTGATATCTCATAATTGTAAGACTGACTATTGTATGTACAATTTATCTGGTTTGTTTCCGATTAACAACTTATTTGTAGATTACCTTCTTTTCTTTCTTGACTAGTCTGATAAGTGTTATGTATGTGTATGTATAATGCCTTGTATAACCTTTGATTGATGAATAAATTCTATTATTATTATTATTATTAT